TTATCTCTAAACCTTAACCACTACCTTACATTGCCATGAATGTCTTTGGGTCACAGGGAAGATGTGATTTTCGCCACTCTTCTGTTTGTATATGCTCGAGACTGTTCTACTAAACCTCACTAGCTCGCATTTTATTTGCTCTTCAGTCGATTTGATGGCTATGCAACTGCTCAGTCAGGCTGCTTCCGGTCAGACACCCACCCATTCGACTCTCAACAGTGCCACTGGACTCTGGGAGCTGCATAATCAGCAGACTCTTGCTCGCAGAGGCCGTGTCATGGTTGGGCCCGGACTGACTGGCGCGGGTGGCGGGAATGTCGCGGTTGCTGGCGCCGGTGGCGCAACCACAGGTACAGGTTATCCGGGCGTGTCGCTCTCTGGCTCGTCAGGGTCGTCCTCGACGACAAGCGGCACGGCCACCGGTGGCTCTGCCAGCCACAACCCTAGCAGTGGTCAGGCCAGCCTGCCAGGCTTGACGCCCACGTCGGGTGGATTGCCGGCTTCACTTCTCTTCTATCCTCCTCCACCAGATCAACCTCTGCCTCCGCTTCCTCCCCCCACGCCTGTGGACCGAGATTTTGCGAGTGGCGTCTCTATTTTGGACGTCGGCTTGACCGGCAGTCCATGCAGCGGTGGGCCCAGGACATTGTTTGGCAGCAACACTGGAGACTCGGCCACCTCTAATAATCCCCTTTTGAGGGCCGCCGGCGGTCTGGAGGGTCCGAGTCGGGCGGAAGTGGTGCCACGTGACGGCCGTCCGGTGAGTGAAACAAGCAGTCACCACGTGGTCCCGTACGCCGCCTCATCGTCCATCGGGACCGGTAGCGGCGTCGGTTGCGCTCCGATCCGCCAGCTAGTCTGTGCCTCTACCGGCTCATCTGCCTTGCCCATCACTACGGCTACTGTCGCTTCTGCTGCTGCCACGACGATGACAAACGACAGCGGACTCATCTCGTCACCAGCCAACTTGGCTGGGCTCATTTCGATCTCCGGCAGTCCCGGTGACCCTGGACAACCTGGAGCTGATCTGCAGGCAGCGATGAGTATGGCCGGCTTCGCGAGAACATTCGCGTCTGGAATTCCGATGGCCTGCGACACTGGCTCTCAGCTACCTCTTCCCGTCGGTAAGCCTTGTCTCTCTCGTCATCTACCAATCGCTTTCA